AAGAAAAAGTCACTAAACTCACAAAGCTCATAAGGACACAATTTCTCAAACTAAACAAATAGCATCCAAGAAAACCAAATTTAAAAACACAAACTTCGATCGAGACCAGAAAAATGTTTAAAAATGGAAACTTCTGAAGACAAAGTTGCGAACCAGAAATTGAGCACCTAGATAGGTCAATGACGAAGGTTCATGTCACTGATTGCCTGAAAACGTAAAGATGGTTATGCGCGGTGTAACGCCCCACTTTTCATTTATCGAAAATCCAGGACTTTTTTTCAGAAAAATCAATAGAATTTTCAATCTCAATTTAAACCTTTGTGGCATTACTCATTTTCATAACCAAATTCAATATCATAGATAGCCTTTATCACAATGACAATCATACATAAATCAATATCTCATCAATGTTCATCCCATAGCATAAATACCTAGATTGGGTTTCCAAATTCCATCACAGTGTCAAAGGGCATCTCTCCAAAATTATTCCAAGTCATCATAAATTCTCAATTCATAAATTCCAAATTCATAATATCCCAAGTTCATAAATTCATAAATAAGTTCAAGATAGCGGAAGCAACTAAATAACGATATGTCATATAGACCGACCACTACTCGCTACACTCTATCGTGCTAACACTTACTTAACCTGCATCCGTGAAGAAACAGGTGGGGGTGAGCACATATGGAATCCGTGGTGCTCACCACTATGAAATAGAGATTAATCATAAGATAAAATAGTGATCATAAGATAAGTCAGGTATGGTCGCAACATGTATACGAAGAAATTATTTATCTCATCTCCCATAATAAATTCATAAATCAAGACTCATGTGCACACCTACGCATAGACTACTGCCGCCTATATATCGAATGCCACGGCCCTAGCCTTCTGGTCTTACAAGGGGTGCCCAGCCAGTAGGAGTATCCCCCGAAGGCCCGGAACCTCGCCATCGGACTTACATCGGGGCCCACAAAAGCTCGAAACCTCGCATCGGACTTATATCGGGGTTTATATCCACAGCCAAGGCCTTGCCCTGGTCTTACGAGCACAAAAAGGAGAGTACCCCAACAGGGTCCGTTCTATAAATGCGGGGATAACCATTCGACGGCCGGTACAGCTCACATTGAAGGCTACATGATTCACATGCATACATTGATCATAACACAAATAGTCATTGATAACACTTACGGCATAGCAATTTTTAGAATAACAAACTCACCTGGTTATCGAAATGGTAGAACACAACAAGTAGTGGAATGTAGTCGAGGCTCGACTCCTCAAACACCTACATTTATTAAAATAGCCCTATAAATAACTATCCGACACATGAACACACATATAAAAACATCCACTTGATTCAACTTAGTTCATATGACTCATATAATCATGCATTTAACAAGTAAATCCCATTTTCGAATGAACAACACAAGTTTTTCAAAATTTAACCCGCGCAGCGATTTTAAAATCAACACAACTTGTAGCACATATATTATATCATAATAATTCCAGTTGCATTTGAACCCTAAGATATGCATCTACAATTCTACGAAGGCATCGAAAACAATTAAGGTCATTTACTAGGAGACAATTCAACAAACATCCAAAATATAGTTGCAGTCAGAAAACTGAAATTTCACATATACAGAGCTTTAGTAATTTTCACATGACTCATGCTATAGACCTCCAAATGACATGATTCAAGGAACAACAGAAAACCAAGAAATAGGGCCACAACTTTCCTGAAGATATGAATGGCAAATAAGAGAATTTGATCAGAGTTTGTTCCACATACATTTAAAACATGATTGTAGTCCGAGAACAAAATCATACAATTTACAGAACCTCAGTAAAAATGGAATATCTCATGCTACAGACATGATTTTGACTTAATTCAAAAACAAAGAGGAAGCTAATAAATAAGACTACATCTTTCATGAATGCCACTTTCACATTTGAGTATGTTAGAATATCCATCGCAGTCCAAACATTTAATATATATGCGCTGCCGGGTTTACAAAAAACTGCTTGCACAATTATTTTGTAAAAATCATATCTCCCTCAATTTAAATCGAAATTCCAAGATTCCAAAGCCCACTGAAAGCTAACAAAATAAGCTACATATCAAATGAAGAACACAGCTTCAAGAAACAAGTTCTTGAAGGCCAATACAGCGAACCACGAAACAGTGATTTTTCAAGCAAAATCAACAAAACATCATCAATTACATTCCAAATCACAAGCAACTTAATCAAATCTTCTAATCATGATTTCTAAACATCATCTCCATCATATAATTCCAACTTTCAACATAATATTCACATTATAACAGAGGGTTTCGAGCCAATGAGTATCGTTCTCACGAAAATTTCACGAGAAAGACGAGAGAGGGCTGAACGTTGGCGAGTTCGTGGACTGCTCTGGTTGCCGATGGATGAGGTAGTTGGGAGAAGAGGTAAAAGAGCGAGAGGTACGATTGTTGTTTTTTTTAAAACGGGAAGGGTTCTGATCAGGATCGCGAGCGAGAGAGCGAGAGATATGAGAGCAGAGGGTAGGGTCTTCGCGATCGTAGAAAAGAAAATAGATATATATATATATATATCAATATATAAACCAAGGTTTTATCAAACTTGCCTATCAAGAAAAGGAAAGCGGACGCGAGTTCGGGTACACGGGCCGAGGTCCTCTTGGTTCGACTTAGCCAATTAAATGGCTCGGTTTGAACGAACGATAAAATAAATTAAGAGGAAATAGCTATTTTCACCCCGTTCTGAAGTCACACTAAGTTTTTCACACCACCCAATAAAAAGCTAAGTTTTTCACCCCAAAAAGTACGAAGACATATGCGATGAAACATGCGCTAAATAGGCGACAGGCATGAGCATGAGCAAGAAAATTATGAGTTAAATTATGCGACTGTTCTACGATGAATATTCGGAGATTCGATGTACGATTCGGTCAATCGCGGTCCGTCGCCCATTAAATAATTATTTTTATTAGGCGAATGAACTGCGACTATTAGTCGAAAAATTATTCTTCGACACAACTGCAACATGCCAACGTCGCATATTATTCGCGGAATTAGTGCATAATAAGTTTTTTTCGTATTTCTTTCATCTTTCAGTTATGCGAGGCAGTATGCGAATTACCCCATATTGCTAGCATACCGCCTTCGCACTTCTACTCGAAAGTGTATTTTTTATTTATTTTTTTATTTCTTTCATCTTTCAGTTATTTCAGTTATGCGATGGGGTATGCGAATAGCCGCATATTACTCGCATACCACCTTCGCACTTCTACTCGAAAGTTTATTTTTTATTTTTTTCATCTTTCTGTTATTTCAGTTATGCGATGAGGTATCGAATTACCGCATATTGCTCGCATACCCCCGTCGCACTTCTACTCAAAAGTGTATTTTTTATTTACTTTTTTATTTCTATCATCTTTCAGTTATTTCAGTTATGCGATGGGGGTATGCGAATAGCCGCATATTACTCGCATACCACCTTCGCACTTCTACTCGAAAGTTTATTTTTTATTTCTTTCATCTTTCTGTTATTTCTGTTATGCGATGGGGTATGCGAATTCCGCATATTGCTCGCATACCCCCTTCGCGCTTCTACTCGAAAGTTTATTTTTAAAATTTAAATTTTTGAATGGTTTATAAACCGCTGGCAGTTGGAACGTTACGGCTGATTTCGAGGCGTCTTATCCGCTTTTCAAAACGCCTGGGCAGTAAAAGCGTGCACGCGAATCGTTTCATCCGTCTATATAAAGCGTGTAATCTTCGATCCATATAATGCCCTCCGTTTTTCCCGTTTCTTGTATATGAGAAGCAGTTCGCCGGAGATAAACCAGAGTTACCAAAAATCTTTCTTTCGACCCGTGAGGCAATTCTTTAACATTACTGTGTCCGAATTGAGAACTCCT